CATTAAATCAATTGCAACATTTAATCTTCACCATAGCGCTTAATTATTCTCATTTAATAAGTGACAAAACTGAAGTTTGCCCAAGTTCACACAGCCAATAAAAGATAAATATAAGTTTACAAACCCTAGTGGTCTAGTGCCAGACATCCAAGATTAGCCTTGACCAGTACTTCCTTCTTTCTTGTTAAACCTCAATCTATTCCCATCATGTTCCTCTTGATCTCTAAACATGCTCAAGTATTTATTTGTTTAGACTTTATTTATTTGAGAAAGAGAGAGACAGAGATAGCAAAAGAGATAGCAAAAGAGAACTAGCAGGGAGGAGAGGGACAAGCAGGCTCCCTGAGCCCAACATGGTGCTCGATCCCAGTACTCTGGGATCATGAATCAAGCGGAAGGCAGACACACAACCAACTGAGCCACCCAGGTGTCCCCATGCTCAAGTATTTTTATCTTAAAACTTCCTTCTTCAGTCTTGACTTCTCTTCAAACCACTCTAGTTTCTTCTATTCTTTTATGACCAAGCTCCTTAGAAAAATAAGATGCATGCCCTATCTGCCTCCACTTTCTCATCTCCAATTCATTAATCTATCTTCTACAATCTACCTTGTTCTCTCATTAATCTAATAAAATTGCCATTAATCACTTACCTGAGAACAAGCAGCCACCTATCAAATCCATCCTGCTCAACCTCTCTGTGGTTTTCATTCTTTTCTTATTCTAGAGTCAACTTCTCTAACTCATGTTACTATTCTTACTGGCTTTCCTCTTATTTCTTAAGTCTCCTACTTCTCAGTCTTATTTACTGTTCTATTTTTTTAAACTAAAACATTGGTTTCCTTGCCCTTATCTCTCATTATTCCTCCCTGGCATGCACCTCAATACAAAAATTTTAAAGAGCTGATGACTCTCCTGAAGTTTATTAATCAGTTCACTGAGCAATACTACGTAAAACACTCTAAACACATTTACCAAACTTACAGTGACCAGATATAAATGACTATACAAAGCATTATGGTACATTAAGTGTTTGAGGAAGCACAAGATAGAAGATTCAGTTGTTAAGGTAATTCATTAAGGTAGATTTCTCAGAGGAGCCATGTGTTGAAGAACCTGTGGAAAATGAATTCTCCCTCTCATCTACTTGGAAAAGATGATCATTCATTTTCCTTCATTCTCAAAGACAGCCAAAGAAAACAATTCAGCTAGCAGCTTTAGTATTAAGTCCTGTGTGTTTAATGATCCTGCAACTATTTTAATTTAGTCATCCATGAAATCATTAAAAAAAATTGTCTCGTGAAGTTCAAATTCACAGTCTTTACCATCACTTTGCACATGATCCACATATAACAAATTAAATAAAATTTTCTCACATTTTATCAAATGCTGGAATAGGGATATTTGAAGATGGCTGAATATTGTTTTTACAAATGATTTATTCATGTGCTTAAAGCCAATCTAAGGATTTCCTACATTTCTTTGTCTTCTCCAGGTCCCACAGTTATAGTGCCAAAACTACCCAGAGTTAGTGTTCCACAGAGTTTTTTTAAACCTCATGTTTTATTATTAGCAGTGTAACCTTCTGTTTATTACATGAAATAAATCTTCATTTTATCATAGATATGGTAGCAACAATTACATACACATACAATTAGGATATTGTGAGAATCAATGAGATAATTTGTGTGAAAGAGCCTGACCTAAAGAGGGTACTCACTAAACATTGGTCTTCTCCCTTTCTTCCATTTCCATGGCAAATTGGGATTATTAACTCTTTTCCTATTTTACCCTTCATTTATATAGCAAAAAAAAAAAAAAAAAAAAGCATTAATTTTGAAAAAACAATCTTTAAATCAGGTTGTTTACAATCTGAATATATGAATATATGGTAATATCCCTTGCACCTCCAGCTTATTGTGTTTGATATTCCCAAGAAAACTTAAATACATATATCTTTTGTTGAAGTCCTTGTGTACTATCAGTGTAAGAGTTATGATAAAAATAATTATAAAGAAATTGCCAATCTATCATTATGATGGCTCTGCATACTTGCTGCTTATTTTTTCCTATTTTATTTAAAGAAACATTTTACCTTTTTTTTTTTTTTTTTACTATAGAGAAGGTAATAATATTAAAAATCCAAGTAGGAAAATGTGCAAGGGAAATTATGTCTAAGAGAATTTAGTGGACACTAAAATTTGAAAATACATGTGTTCTGGGTGTCTATATAAAATAAGGAAAAGACTTTCATCGAAAAAATAGTTAAGTTACCAAGATATCTCTAAAATGCAGTAAGAATGAGGTGTTGGAATGGAGAAAGCTTAAAATTGGTAGCCACTGAAGAGCTCTAAGGTAAGGCCAAGGTTAATTAAATGATAAAATGTAGTGCTTTGGTGGGGAGAGGGGGAATGAATGTAGGGTTTTGTTTTTGTTGTTGGTGGTGGTGTTGGTTGTGGTCCACTAAAAATGGCTTCTTTTCTAGAAGAAAAAGAAATGAATTTGAAGGAGATCAATATTACTTGAAGAACAGAAGAAACATGTAACTTATAAAACCAAGTCCACTTGGGATTCATTCCAAAGATTTTGGGAAAAGTGGCAAATGTTAGAACTCTCTATCAGCTATAACTCACATCTTCCTATAAATTGGGATGGAACCTACAGGCTACAAAAAAAAAAAAAAAGAATATCACTCTCTCTATAAAAAAAGAACCTTTAAACAATAATGATGATCTTGTTTACTTTTATTTTCAGAGAACAGCAGTCTTATAGAATGTGCTAGCATTTTTTTCTCTGACCCATTTTATTTCACTGTTTTCAGTTACTAACTCTAAATGGTACATCTTCTTTAGCAATTTCTAATTTTTTTAAGATTAACATTGCTTTGCATTTAAGATGCTTTGGCAGGGACTGTAATGAGAATTTTAAATTTGAGCAAAACCTCTTGAAGTTCTAAATGAGGCCATCAAAGAGAACATTCACCAGATGGAAACAGTGATTGATCTAAAGCCTTGAGTCTTGTTTTTAATCTCTTGTTTTCCAGCAAAGAGAAATTTTCAGAATCTTCTCTCTTCCTAAAAATTTAAACTAAAACACATAGTTAAAACAGAGATGCTATACTCTAAGTATATTTATAGAATGGAAAGTAAAAAACCTTATGTCACATCCCAATCAAGAAACACGATACTCTAAAAAGAATGTGGATATCTCTAGTTAGGGTTCCTGTTCTGTTGCTATTCCTAAGTTAATTTTTCACTGCTGGATGGAGGGCAGTCCCCAAAATTCTCATGCCCCCAGATGATGGCCTATAATTGAGCCTTAGATTGCTCAACAGGATCTGACTTCCTCTGATTCCTTGAGACACCGTCAGCCTGCATTTCTCAGCTCTCTTCCACCTAGGGAGAGCTTCTTCTTACTCTCCTTTTCCCATTTACAAACTGAGTAGAGATGGTGCTGAGAATGTAAAGGAGGGCAGAGGTACAACTATAAACAGTCTGGATGCTCAGTATGCCTCATAGATGTTAAGCTCAGTAGCCATCAGTTTGTTCTCTATATTTACAAATTGCCAAATAAAATATGTAAGGTTTTGAATATCAATTATGTTTCAATAAAGTTATTTTTAAAACTTTAAAATACAAAAAAATCAGCTTCATACAACATTCTACTATATGCAATTTTTGATAAATACTCAATTACAGAATTCAATACCATACCAGCACAAGACATATAATAGGTATTCAGTAAATGTTTAAATTTTACTCCTTTTTAACACAGTGATTTTTCTCAGTAATAATTTCTCAGATAAAACTTAGATAAAAATAAAAAAAAAACTTTCATTGTGTTAAACAACTAAAATGTTGGGTCTGTTTACTATTGCAGTTAGCCTAAACTTTTCACACCATATCTCCTTCAGAATTCCACACAAACATACAGAGTGAATTCAACGAAGAGAAAATTTGGAAAACAGACTTCAGTTATTTAGATAATTTCACAAGTACAATCTCTGTCTGATGTGGGTTTAATGTTCTTAGTGAAAATAATGTCCAACCTTATCATTAGTGTCTATAATGGTTAATTTTATGTGGCAAATTGGCTAGGCCATAGAGCCAAGATATTTGGTCAAACACATCTGGATGTTGCTATGTAGGTATTTTTAAGATGAGATTAATATTTATGTTTTTTTTAATTTTATTTTTTATAAACATATAATATATTTTTATCCCCAGGGGTACAGGTCTGTGAATCGCTAGGTTTACACACTTCACAGCACTCACCATAGCACATACCCTCCCCAATGTCCATAACCCCACCCTCCGAACCCCCCTCCCCCCATCAACCCTGTTTGTTTTGTGAGATTAAGAGTCACTTATGGTTTGTCTCCCAAGATGAGATTAATATTTAAATCAGTAGACTTTGAGTAAAGCAAATTACCCTCCATATTGTGGATGGGTCCCATCCAATCAGTTGAATGTATTAAGAAAAAGAATGACTACCCTGAAGTAAAGGGAATTCTATCATTAAACTGTTTTTAGATTCAGTTTCAGCATCAACCCTTCTGTGAATCTCTAGCCTACTGTCCAACCTTGCAAATTTTGGACTGGCCAGCCTCCATAATCATGTGAACCAAATCCTTATCATCAGTCTCTCTCTCTCTCTCTCTCTCTCTCTCAATCGTGTGTGTGTGTGTGTGTGTGTCCATTTTAAAATAAATAAGTCCTAATAGAGATCAAATGTGAAGAAACACATGATTACCAATTAGTCAATGTCAAGTAAAATGGCATCCTAGGTTCATTTGGAATTAATACACTTGTCATAGAAATATGTTTAGATGTTCTTTATGAGTCCTGCTACTGTTCATTGTATCTAAATTTATCTCATCTTTTCAATTACAATAATAAACAATGAGTTAAACTTTAAAAAGGCTGACCCCAGAAAGCTCAACCGAAAAAACATATGCACATGAACTGAGAGCAATAAGCCTTTTCTTGAAAATCACTTACTGGGTGCTCACTCAGCAGCACATACCCACAAAACCTGGACAATACAGAGAAGAATACTATGGCCCCTGCACAAGGATGACATTACTTATTGGACATCTCATATTGGGCACTGTATTAAGCATGAGTAACATAAAACTTGTAGAAGCATGGTTCCTATCTATGGTAAGTCAGATTTTCCAAAAATAGCAGTAACAATACCTCTTAACCCTCATGCTCTTTTACTATATAATTTTGATATTCCTCCTATTGAGAGGCAGAGTCTGTCTCCTCTTGAATCTGGATGACCTTTTACCTCAACAAACATAGTATGTAAGAAGTAATATGATGTGATTTTCAACAAAAGAATATAACAATGCTATGTTCTTCTGCCTTGCTCTCTTGAGACACTTACTTTGGGGGAAGCCAGATGCCATGTAAGCAGTCCAACAACCCTAAGACTTCTATGATGAGCCTAAACTACTTCATATGGAAAGGAAGATGGCAGCAGAGTAGGAGGACCCTAAACTCACTTTGTCCCATGAATACAACTAGATAATCATCAAAGCATCCTAAAAACCCCAGAAATTGAGCTTAAGTCTGGCTCAAAAAATGTCACAACTAAAGAAGAAAAGAGGTCATTCTGAGGAAGGGAGGGAATGTGGAGACCTGGTTTGGGAGAGAAATGGATTATGGTCACCACAGTGGGGAGGGACCACAGCTGCAGAGAAGGATATAGGGAAAATGAATCCCCAGAGCAACTGACTTAGAAAGTGAAAGTGGCCAAATTTCATGAGTTCTTGCAACCTGTGGGGCTTACAGCCTGGAGTTCTAAGGTCAGTGGGCTTGGCTCAGGGAAACCCAGAGGTTTTGGGGCTGTTCTTGGAGAAAAGACAGGGCAACCAACCTGCAAACCTACAGTGTGACAACTGTAAAGATGTAAAGAACATCTGGGGCACATGGTGGAGAGGTTATTTGCTCATCTCAGAGTGTTTCCCAGGGAGGCAGCATTCATGGAGACTTCTCCAAGAACAAAGGAACTGGCGGGTGCAATTTTCCTACCTTAGTATAAGCACAGGGCCACCTGTGGGAACTAGGATAGCACTATTCACTTGCTTACGCCAAGCCCTGCCTTCACTGAGATCCAATGGAATCACCCTTCCCAGCAATGCTTGTCTCAGTTTCAGTGTGGTGGGCCCCTCCCCCAGAAGATCAGCCTAAACCACTGCCCATAAGTGTCTCCCAACCCAGGAGTTTTTCAGGGCCTCAGCTGCAGAGGCAGTGGTAACAGTTCTCATTTCACAAACACACAAGAGCATATTTAGTTAAAACTCCCCACATTTAGGCCAGGGACCAAACACTACCTACAACAGACAGAAAACCTCTCTAGATGACTGGTGTGAAGGATAAAATAGCCAGACCAAAACAGCAGAGCATACACAGCACAACTGGAGACCTAAAGCACCAGGCCCTGGGAAGCAGGGGACACTGAACTGCAGGGAACTACAAGGCCTCTTCTCCATAAGGACATTACCCTCAAGAAAAGGAGATGTAGCTGACTTTCCTAACACAGAAGTTGGCACAGAAACTTAGACAAAATGAGAAAACAAAGAAATTTTTCCCAAATGAAAGAACAGAACAAGGCCACAGGCAGAGATCTAAGTATAACAGATATAACATACCTGATAGAGAATTTATTTTTTCTAAAGATTTATTTATTCATTTTAGAGAGAGAGGGAGAGCATGAGCGGGAGGAAGGGTAGAGGGAGAAGAGAATTCTCAAGCAGACTCCCCATTGAGTATGGAGCCTACTGCAGGGGTCAATCCCAGGACTCCAAGATCATGACCTAAGCCAAAATCAAGAGTTGGACACTCAACCAACTGAGCCACCCAGGCACCCCAAAGTAATGATCATAAAGATAATCACTGGACTTGAGAAAAGAATGTAAAACATCAGTGAGACCATTAATACAGAGATAAGGAATACCATAGAGGAGATAAAGGGCTCAATAAATGAAATGAGAAACACACCTGATGGGATGAACAGCAGGCTGGAAGAAGCAGAGGAACAAATTGGTGACCTAGAAGACATAGTAATGGAAAGTAATCAAGATGAACAAAAGACGGGGTGCCTGGGTGGTTCAGTGGGTTAAAGCTTCTGCCTTTGACTCAGGTCATGATCCTAGGGTCTTGGCATTGAGCCCCGCATCGGGCTCTCTATTCAGCAGGGAGCCTGCTTCCTCCTCTCTCTCTGCCTGCCTCTCTGCCTACTTGTGATCTCTGTCTGTCAAATAAAGAAATAAAATCTTTAAAAAAAAATGAACAAAAGAGGGGTGGAAGTTATATAAGTAAAATGAAAATAGACTTATGGAACTCAGTGACTCCATCAAACATAATAATATTCACATTATAGAAGTCCCAGAATAAGAGAATGAAAGGGGGGCAGAAAATTTATTGGACGATGTAAGAGCTGAAAACTTCCCTGTTCTGGGGAAGGAAACAGATATCCACATCTGGAAGGCACAGAGAACCCCATCCTCCAAAAAAATCAACAAAAGCAGATCTACACCAAGACATATGATAATTAAAATGGCAAAATATAGTGATAAAGAAAAATATTAAAAGTAGCAAGGCAGAAACAGAGAGAAAGGAAGGAAGGAAGGAAGGAAAGAGACAGTTACATACAAGGGGAACACCATAAGGGCATCAAGGGATTTTCAGCAGAAACTTTCCAAGCCAGAGACAGTGGCATGATATACTGTAAGTGCTGAATAGAAAAAATCTGTAGCCAAAAAAATTGTAGCCAGCAGGGCTATCATTCAGAACAGAAGGAGAGATAAAGAGAATCCCAGACAAACAAAATTTAAAGGAGTGGTCATGAGACCACTAAACAGTTCTGCAAGAAAAACTAAAGGGGACTCTTTAAATGGAAAGGAAAAGTAAAAAGTGACAATATAAAGGCAAGATAAACAAAAGCAGTAAAAATGTATTTGTTTTAAATACCAGTAAAGGAAATCACAAAATAAAAGTATGTAAAAGATGACATATACCTAAAAGTAGACAAGTAAAGAATGGGTTCAAAATTAAATGACTATCAATTTAATATAGACTGCTATATCAGATGTTATACACAAACCTAATGGTAACCACAAGTCAAATCCCCTAATAAACTTGCAAAGAATAAAAAGAAAGAAATCTAAATATATCAGTAAAGAAAACCAGCAAATCATGAAAGAAAGAAAGACAAAAAGGATCAGATAAGATCTTCAGAAACAACCACAAAACAGGTAATAAAATAGCAAAAACATGTATCTATCAATAATTACTTTGAATGTAAATGGACTAAACATTCCAATTAAAAGACATAGGATGAAAATGGGACAAAAAAAAAAAAAAAACCCCACACCAGGACTCATTTGTATGCTGCTGAGACTCATTTTAGACCTAAAAACACCTGCAGATTGAAAGTGAGGGAATAAAAAATATTTACCATGCAAATGGATGTTAAAGAAAGGGGGCGATATTTATATCAGATAAACTAGACTTTGAACAAAGACTGTAACAAGAGACAAAGAAGGACACTATATAATAATAAAGGGACAATCCAACAAGAAGACATAATTGCATATATTTATGCAATACAGGAGCACCCAAACACGAAGGTTGATAATAAATATAAACTACTTGATAATAATACAATAATAGTAGGGGACTTTAACAATCCACTTACATCAATAGATCATCTAAACAAAAAAAATCAACAAGGAAACAATAGCTTTGAATGACACACTGAACCAGATGGACTTAACAGATATATTCAGAACGTTCCACCCCAAACAACAGAATACACATTCTTTTCAAGTGTACACGGAACATTTTCCAGAATAGATCACATTGGGCCACAAAACAAATTTTAGCATATTCAAAAAGATCAAAATCAGACCACGCACATTCTCTGTCCATAAAGTTATGAAACTAAAAGTCAGCCACAAGGAAAAAGTCTGGAAAGACCACAATACATGGAAGTTAAATAACACACTACTAATCAATGAATGGGTCATCCAGGAAATCAAAGAAGAAATTTAAAAATTATGTGGAAACAAATGAAAATGAAAATACAAAGGTTCAAAACTGTTGCGATATAGCAAAAGCAATTCTAAAAGGGAAATTTATAGTGATACAGGCCTACCACTGGAAGCAAGAAAAATCTCAAATAAACAATCTAACCTTACAACTAAAGGAGTTAGAAAGAGAACAACAAACGAAGTCTAAAACCAGCAGAAGGAAGGAAATTATAAGATTAGAGCAGAAATAAATGATACAGAAACTAAAACAAAAAACAAGCAAACAAAAAAACAATAACAGAACAGATCAATGAAACCAGGAGCTGGATAATTGAAAAAAATCAATAAAATTGGTAAATCTCTAGCTATATTTATCAAGAAAAAAAAAAGATAAGTGACCTAAATAAACAAAATCACAAACAAGAAAGAAGCAATAACAGGCACCACAGAAATACAAACAATTATAAGAAAATATTATGAAAAACTCTATGCCAACAACTTGAAAATCTAGAAGAAATGGATAAATTTCTAAAAACATATAACCTACCAGAACTGAAACAGGATAAAATAGAAAATTTAAACAGAATGATTATTAGCAAAGAAATTGAATCAGTAATCAAAAAATTCCCAACAAAGAAAGTTCAGGACCAGATGGTTTCACAGGCAAATTCTATCTAACATTTAAAGAATAATTAGAACTTATTTTGTTCAAACTACTTCAAAAAATAGAAGAAGAAGGAAAACTTCCAAATCATTCTGGAGACCAGCATTACCTAATACCAAAACCAGATAAAGACACCACAAAGAAAGAGAACTACAGACCAATATCTCTGATGAACATAGATGCAAAAATCCTCAACAAAATACTAGCATACCAATTCCAACAATGCATTAAAAAACAATTCATCATGATCAAGTGGGATATACTTCTGGGTTGAAAGGGTGGGTTCAATATTCACAAATCAATCAACATGATACATCACATCAATAAGAGAAAGGATAAGAATCACATGATCATTTCACTAGATGCAAAAAAAGCATGTAACAAGGTACAACATCCATTCA